TTTTATTTTAATTAAATTAAATCACATATTTTAAAATTTTCCTAATCCTATTTAAATCAGGTTTTGACACGTATTATTTTGTTTTAGTTAAACTAAATCACATATTTCAAAATTTCCATAATCCTATTTAAATTTTTTTTACTTTTTTACTATTTTACAAATAAAGATATTGTTATTCTAAAATAGATAAATTTTTTGACATTTGGATAAATTGTCGTATGTAAATCCTAAGTCTATTAAAACTAAAAAGATTTTACATTATATTAGAATATTCCCATGAGAGAAATTACATGATTTACTACTTTAGAATTCAAAAATCTAATTGTTAAATACAATATATAAATTATTATCATAAAAAAATATCACTTATTTAAGTTAAATAAAAAAGTTTTTATAATCGTATTGTAGTACATCTTATTAGAAAATGACCAAAATTTTTCAAAGAAATAATGAGCTTACAGGAATAAACTTTATATTAGTTGATGAAAAAGTTATCATATTTTTTTCTTATATCAATAACAGCCTTAATGTATTACTAATTATAGTTAAATACAAAAAATGTTTACCATCATAATGTATTAAGTCTTATCCTCTATATATTAATAGAGGAGACACTAAAAAAAATCTTAGGTGTCAATCAAAGAGGGTTTTATGGAATCATTAATGCTTTCAAAATATTTTATGGAAATAATATTAAAAAACCTTAATTACTATATTTCACTTAAATTATCCACCGAATTTAACTAAAATTTTTTTTTTTTCGAGAGCACCCAATCATATTTGTAGATTTTGTTCTCTTCCAAAAATTAAAATTAAACTTCGATCCAAACCCAACGAAACGAATTCAGAATTAAAAAATTAATTGAAAATAAACAAAATTTTCACTGAAAAATTAAATTAGTTTCTTAAACCAAATTTTCATGTTGCTTTGTTTCTTGGATACTATATTAATCTTGAAAAATCAATATATCCGAAACATAAACTGTTTTGAATCTTCTATATATTAATTGAAGTGACAATAGAAGAAAAAATTATGATGTGAATTAATGAGCAATTTAATAGACACATCGTTTCATTTAACCAATCAAAATATTTTAATTAATAGTATGTACAATGGTAGAAATTATATACATTTTCTTATGAGTTTTTAAAATTTAACATAAATCCACTAATAAATGTGTTTAACATTTTAAACCCAACTAAATGTCATATTTTAGACTTACCATACAAATCGATTTACTGTTATATATGTATTTAGATTAGCACACTATACATATGTTTTAATTTTGATATAGTCTATTATACATATATAACTAAACTTACAAATATTTACACATTTAATTATTAAAAAAAAATATATTGTTTTTGTTTGTTATGTCCGACATATTAATATAAATCTAAAATTTCTATGATTTCACATAGTTTATAATTTACACGAATATTTAAAATTAATTTTACACTTAAAATATATTGAAATAAGTAACTTTGCATATGTTGTAACCAATTTTACACATAAAAGTATTAGAGCTAATGAAATCAAAATATGTTTGATCAAAATTAAACTTTATAATATTTATGCAATACATGTTATTATTTTACGTTTATAGATATTAGAAATCATATGTTTTGTCATATATGTTTAAATATTAAAATCGATTAAAAATACATATTTATTCATTTAATCCCACGCTTGGCGTGGGTCAAAATCTAGTTAGAAAGTAAGAGAATAATAATATTAAGAAAATAATTTGCGTATAGGAATGAATTTATATTAGTTGATGAAAATGTTAGCATATTTTTAGTTTATATCAATAAGTGTCTTAACGTATTACTAATTATTTGAATATAATCTAACTACAATTTGATTTTATTTTAACGAATAAAATATTATTTAAAGCTTTTTGCATCGCTACATGATTTAGATTCTTGTAAAATTTGGTAATCCATTTGTGAAAGAAATCTTA